CAATAGCATTTTTTGGCATTGGCAACGACGAAAATATTTTGTAACTGTCTCTCAGACGATACACATCATACTGCATGCTAGTGCTAGTTAAACAAGTGATGTCAACAAATCAGCTATTCAGATAATTTAGGTAAGTAATTTATTTATTTCATGAATTTAGCAGACAGTACTTATAGTGGCAGCAAAAAGTCTAGCGCCAGCCTTGAAAGTAACACTTATGACTTACGAGTATCATTATTAAAAAAATATATTGATAAGGAAAAGGTTAACTCTTGGGTAGCAGCAAAAATCACAATAGAGAACAAATGTTTAGAAATATTTCATCATCTTGAAATAAACCATGTTCCATACAATAATGCACTAAACATTGTGGGATACGTGCTGTCCTTACCAGGAACTAATGCTGTGACTGAATGTGGTTTTTCTATGGTAAATAAAGTGTGGACATCAGAAAAGTCACAATTAAGTGTTGAGACTTTGAAAGCCATTTTATGTGTGAAATATAATTTAACAAATTCTTGTGAAAAATTAAATGACCTTTAAACAACGACAGCAATCTACTAAAAAAAAATCAAATGAGAAATATGCCAAATAAAATAATACTATACATAATTTTTTAATGTATTATATTTGTAAATTGTACTTATGTTGAAATTAAAAAATATATATTATAATACTATTTTTGCATTCTATGAAAATTTTTGTTGCTCCATATAGACCGAATTTTTACCCCCCCCATGGTGTCCTGCTTTACCAGAGTTAATTTCTGGTCACCTTAAACTATGTTCAAAATAGTTGAATGTGGCATATAAAACATCCAAGACATAGTTATTAGGGGAAATGTAACAGAATACATATGTAGCAATGTCATTCAGTTATGTTAATAAGACAAAAATATGTATATAAAAATATTAAATACATAGAAAGAGGTCTGGGTAGGATATACAACAAACTCTTTTGACTATCCTCTAAGAGGGGAGTAGGATTTAAAAGGGGTTTGGGGAGAGGACTTTTACTTTCTCTTACTTTTTATAATTCTGTATTGACTATAAACATGAATTATATGTTATCAACTTTTAATGTTTAAATGGCTGAGTAGTGATCTCTGAAGTAATAAGGCATTAACTTTCTTTTTTCTTTTTTAGTAGTTTTTGGCCAGGGCTGGGTTTGAACCTGCCACCTTTGGCATATGGCATTAATTTTCTAATACAGTGGGCTTCTCACCTACTAACTAAATCTACTAACCTTATTTGTTTTAATTGATTTTATAATATAGTACATATGAGACAGGTGTCAGGTAAGTAGCCAATAAACAGGTGAGTGAAAGAAGAAAGTCTGTTGAAAATGGGGATTTTTAAATAATTAAAATAATCCATATAATCAAAAGTTGACTGGATTCCACAGGTTTTCAATGGTAACAAATTGGAGACCATATATTAATATCTTCAAGGTATTATGACAAGGACTCCCCAAACTAAATCTGAATGCAAGTCTCTTTTACATTGCTACAGAGACCTAACCTTTCCACAGGAAAAGGACTAGGGCATGTAAAAATTCCACTAATAGGCTAAAGAGATGCTGAACGTTTAATAACACCTTAACTTGCCCACATAATCTAGAACTGTAAAACTTAAAATACAAATAATTTCTAAATGACCTAGATTAGAACCTTGATCAAAACTTGTAACTGTTATTCATGGAGTAAGACATAATTCATATTTTTCAGGTTCCTAATGTTTTTCTCTCTATCCAGTCACTAAACTTCAAATTCACAGAAGTCAAAAACATCGAAAAAATCAACACAGATGGACAGAAAGACACGAATATACACATATGCAACATTTCATTTTTTTTAAAGGTGCTTATTATTCTTTCCTTGAACATCTAAAGCTTTAAGTCACAAAATAGCATTCTTAATACTTTTAAAGTTTGCACTTTTTGTTCATATCAATGAGATTCTATGCTATTTAGCAGACTTTGAACTTTTCAGGCAATTCTAGCAACACTAAAAGTTTATAGCATGCAATTAATTTGTAATACAGCTGAAGCAAAGATATGAAAAGTCCTAGTTGCAAGGCTGGTGTGTAGGAATGAGAGATCTTACTAATGAGAGCTGGCTCATCCCAATTCACCTTGTTGTAATCCAGTTGCTAGAGCTACTGTCTGTGTATTCTATACATTTGAGAGGCACAAAGACATCAGGGTTTATCTCTTTTGAATATCAAAAGATTGTCTTATGCTATCATAAGACAACACTCACGTAAGGATGAATTACACAAAATAAGCTAACAAGCACCATTAGCACTCAGATCTCCCCACCCTCCCACAGTTCACAATTTATGGAAGAGAACCATTTCCATACCTGCCCTTCAGGTTTTCAAGTTCCCTGTGATGCAACATGCTCCGCATGTGTTCGTCCATCTCCTTTAAAATTAAAGAAAGTAGATTACACTAAGGGGACTGCCTTGAAAAAAGTTCCTCTGTTCCTATTCAATCAAAAATTCGGCTGAAATCCTATGTCAAATGTGATTACTCTTTTCACTTCAATACTAAAATTAAAATCACTTCCTTATGGCTGGGTGCAGGTTCACACCTATAATCCCAACACTATGGAGGCCGAGGTGGGTGGATTGCCTGAGCTCACAGAGACCAGCCTGAGCCAGAGTGAGACTGTGTCTCTATAAAATAGCCAGGTGTTGTGTCAGGTGCCTGTAGTTCCAGTTACTTGGGAAGCTGTTCCTCTGTTCCCATTCAATGAACAACTGGGCTGAAATTCTGTGTCAAATGTGGTAATCCACCTGCCTTGGACTCCCAAAGTGCTAGGAATATAGGTGTGAGCCACTAGGCCTGGCCTGAGGGAGCATTCTTAGCTTCATAAGGACACAAGTATGCAGAGAAGTTAACTGGTTCACTAACCAAGTATTTATCAAGTACTTTTTATGTGCCAACACAGAGCTGGGCACTGAAAGGATAAGGGTGAAAATATTCAGTCTTGCCTTCTCAAAGTCAAAAAGGGGCTCGGCGCCTATGGCTCAAGCGGCTAAGGCGCCAGCCACATACACCTAAGGTGGCGGGTTCGAATCCAGCCCGGATACGCCAAACAACAATAATGGCTGCAACCAAAAAATAGCCAGGCGTTGTGGCGGGCACCTGTGGTCCCAGCTACTTGGGAGGCGGAGGCAGAAGACTCGCTTGAGCCCAGGAGTTGGAGGTTGCTGT